CATTTTTTATTACATATTTTTTATTTTTTATATTACTTTTAGGGCTTTGGGGAAATATTAGAGGTCTAAACAGACTCCTGATATTTCCCTTTTAAAATAGAAAAAGAGGACTCCGTGTTCTCAATCTCTCTTTTTCTGTGTCCCCTGTTATCAATGAACATGAATCCTCTATACCGCCGAGTGCTCCTGTTCATTGATAACATGAGAACATGGTATGTTTAGTATAACTAACACTATGAATGAACAGGAGGAATGTAGATCACTCCCATTTCATAATTGAGGCTATAGTTAACATACCATGTCCTCAATTATGTACACTCAGCAATCACTGATCGCTGAGTGTTTGTATCCGCTCTCCTCGCTGTCTCCGCCCCCACACCGCTCTGCTGGACTGTGATAGGAGGCCGAGCGGTGTGGGAGGAGACGGCTGCTCACAGCGCTCTCCTTCCGCAGGGCTCGGCCGGCTACCACCGTTTCTCTCTGCCCCGCTGGGACACAGAGCAGCGCCTAGCGGGGTGGAAAGAAACCTGGAATGCGTCGATGTATCGGCAGGAAAATGGCACTTCGGCATTATGCCAAAAGTGCCATGTTCGGCCGATATGTTTCGACGGCCGATATATCGGTGCATCCCTAAACTGTTCTAACAAGGATCCTCCAACAGCTTAAGTTTCCTAAACACAAAACCCAGAGGGCGAAGGTGAGAGAAATAAATGTTTGAGCTGTAAATAAGCCATCTGTCAGCTCTAGATGGCGCATTGGGAAGCACATCTGCTACAGGTTGGAGACCATTAGTATGAACAGCTTGCATCTTGGGGGAAGGTCTTGGAGTAATGCCACTTCAAGAACCCAAGGGAAGACAAACCCAGAGGGAACTATGGATTTCCCAGTATAGACATCATAATGCCTATAGAAGATGATACTTCATATTTGCAGTCCACAAAGTTCCACACCTCCAAAAGCAATACAAGAGGGAATAAAGACCTGGAAGATGGACGGTGAGAGAGTCTAACGCAGGGGGAGGGACGTGAGAGGCACACAGGAGTAAGATGCTGCTCTATGGACACCCGCAATTTAGTATGAGCGTGAAAGAACCAGTCCGTGATGGGGCCCAAAACAGCTGCCATGAAATAAAGTAACAGTAAGAAAAAAGTCTTAGATTCTATAGGTGGTATGGGGAGGGGTCAACAGTGCTCATAGTAAAAGGAAAAAAACTGTTCAAGATTAAACTTACCAAGGTTCATCAGTAGGTTCCCAACAGACTAAACATACACTACAAGTAAAACACATTGCACGATCATCTCCTGAGGATGCCGGCTGTCAAGATATAAAAACAGCAAAATTGAAATTAGAACATAACATCAACAAAAACAGAATACAAAAACATTGGCTTTTATTATAGTTCATATTAAGCCTTTAAAAGTGAACTGTCATTTGTGTAGAAAACGTGCGTAAAAAGGAATTTAATAAAAAGTAGTCTTTATATTTTTACCTTACAGTAGTAAATGCATCTAAATTGCCTTCTACACATTAATGTGCAACTGTTCCAGCATAATCTAAGTGATGTCATGAAGACAGGCAGAGGAGAAAAATGCACTAACCTCCTACTGTTAGCTATTCAGTTCTATCTTGTGCTTCAGGTATTGAGAGTCATTAATGGGAAGAGATTGGGAAAGCTAGAAATGGATGTTCTGCCTTCCCTATTCACATAGTGACAACCTGATGTGCAGACTGTGGGACAGTGTGCAGCCTTCGACACAAAAATTACTATTATGTATATTGGAAATGGTAGTGCAGGGCAGGCTCCATACACAACTTCCAAATCAGTGAATGGTATAATACTGGCATGGGCTGACAACTGGGACTAGCACTAAAAAGGAAAAAAAAAAAACCAAGCAAAATAAGCCCAGCCTTTCAACATAATCCTGAGAACACTTAATTTTGAGGCTTTCAGAACCACTGAAGAATTAGTACAGCACCAAAATAGAAAATGGTACACTAGTACACTCTTTAATGCCGTTCTGGACGTAAAATACTCTTTATGGACTACTATACCATTTCTACCACACTAATCAAATACTACTGCACTTTAAGCATGCCCTCCTTAGGTAATAGCATGCCTATATCTTGCCTGAAGCAGTTCATACATCCACTAAGACTTCAGGTTTGTCTACATCTACACTAACACCACATCAGGAAAATAAAAGTACAGCGTCAATGGAATGGGCAAAGGGTTTTGGTTTTTTTATTTCAAGTGCTGCAAATTTTAAAACTGAAATGCTGCTTTGCATTCAGAGGTTTTAAAGAGTAAGCCCTTGTTCACACCAGATGCAGTGTGTTCCGGCCCTGCATTGTGGCGTTCCGGCACTGCGTTGTGGCCGGCTCACTTTTTGTGGGGCATGAGAGGGTGTGGCAGGCCATTGAAGTGAATGGCACCGTAGCCACGCCCGCCGGCCGCAATGTGATCGGCTGCACGGAATCGCAAGGCACATTATGCCTGCGGTCCGATCAAAATAGTGCTTGCAGCATTTTGATCGGACCGCAAGCATAATGCGCCGTGGATCCTGTGCGGCCGATCGCACGGTGCCATTCACTTCAAAAGTGAGCCGGCCGCAATGCGATGCAGTGTGTTCTGGCTAGAATCGGGCCGGAATGCACTGCATCTGGTGTGAGCGAGGCCTAACATCACTGTAGCAGCCCTAATGTTGAAACAAAATGTTATGAAGCACCTTATTCATGCCTACTGCAAGAATCCTACCATACAAAAAGTCTGAAGGCCAATTAGTCCATGCAGTTTGATGCCTGTAGTGTGAACCGCTCAATTGTCTTACCTGGTGATAAAAACCTGCTTGAGCCATGGGATCTGGCTGAGCCCACCTGTAACCAACATGAGGCCACGATGTAAAGGTCTCTCTCCTGTTTGCTTCACTGTACATCAAAGATCTAACAGGAAATACAATTTTTAAAAGTGCTTATGAGCATACAGTTGACCAAAAAACAAACTCCAAGTGAAATTTTTTTTTAAAAAAAGGTCAGTAATCTACCATTTTGAACTTGCCCTGTTATGACGTGTGCGCTTGTTCAGTTTAGCATAATGTCTTAAATGTACAAGTACAGATCAAACTTAGTTGACTACATAATATATCATTACATTCCCAGGTTCAGAAAACACATGCACCATTTAAGGGCAGCTAGGGAATGCTAATCTATGGAGCAACAGTTTCAGCAACCATTTAAGAGTCTA